CCTGCTGCCCGACTTGTTCCACACCAATTTCAGGAGAAACAAGAGGTTGCTCTTTCAGCCGCCTTTGATTTCCCGGCGATGCTGCCGGTGGAAGCGGGCGCTGAGGAGGGTTTTTCCTGCACCCCGAGCAGGGTGGGGCTTCCTCCCGGCTACGCATGGAATTCTTCAAAGCACCAGGAATTCCATCAGCTGCAGCAGCAGAGCTAATCCCTCGCGATCGGCAAGCTGATCAACGGTGCGTCTGCTTAATTGGGACGCTTGCCAGGGCCGGGACCTGGGGCCGCGCGTGTGAGAGCTCCAAACAGGAGCTGCCAGCTTAGGCGTTTTTGGAGCGCTTTAGTGCGTTTTTGGAGCGCATTGGTGCGTTTTTGGAGCGCATTGGTGCGTTCTCACCCGGACAGCCGCCGTGTAGGAACAGCGCCCGGTGCCACGGCCGCGCGGCGCGGCAAACGCTGCTGCTGGAGCCGCGTGAGCGCTTGATGCAGGGTTTATTAGAGTGCTTGAAAACAGGCAAGACAAGGGCGTGGGGCAGAGTATTTGCTCAACGTGGTGTCTCAGAGGGACTTGGAGATCACGCAGCTGCCGAGGTAAATGACTACAGTGAAGTTTTAACGTGCATTGGGGTTTTTCAAGGTCAGCCGTCAGCTTTGGTCACGCTAGGGTCTTAAACTGGGAGCTCTCTGGGCCTTCCTTGCCTGTCCATCTCATGTGATAGTTGGACACAACCCTGCTGGGGGTGACGGAGCTGGGCCGTCCCGCCAGGGTATCCGTGCCCTGTCTGGGTGCAGCCCCTTCCAGCCACGGGGCCCCTGAGGACAGTCCCACGGCCCCCGTTTCGGGGTCTGCAGCCTTCTTAGGAGAAGTTAACGTTAACTTCAGCGTTAAAGAAGTTTACTTTAACCTCGGTGCTCCCGTCTGCGCTTCGCCGCCTGCCCTGCTCGTGCGCTCTCCGCGCGGAGCTGCTCGGCAGTGACCCGGCTCATTCCGCATCCAGCCCAGCAGCCTCTCCGCGTTCCTGCCCGCTCCCTGTTTTCAGCCTTTCCCCTTTTCCAGAGGCTGCAGCGGCGCAGCGGCACAGCCTCGGCGCTCGCTGCCCTGGCTGTGTTGGGCAAAGCAGCAGGCGCTTCTCCGCGTTTCCCTTCGCCCGCTCCGTGTTTCTTCTGGAGCTTTAACGTGGTTTCCGCTGGGCCAATTGGATCTGCTTCCCATTTGTTAACACCATCAGCCGTCCCCGTGGAGTCAGGCCCAAGGCCCGGGTTACGTCACCTGTAGTGACAGATGCCCCTGATGCGTCTCCATCGTCCCCTCGTAGCCTCCTGCCCAACAGCCCTCTCGGCTTCTCTCTTTTCTTAGGGTCATTTTGATACTCAGTGAACCAGTCCTGCAGGCTCTTAGCAATCTGAACCCCTCCACCTCTACGTTTAAACCAGTTTCTCTTTGCTCAGGAGCTCCTCGTAGTGTCTGCACATGTATTAAAAGTTAATAAAATAAAAGGTAGTCTGCAAGGAAATCTGCCCCTGCATTTCCTGAATTTGCAAGTGCTTTAAGGAGTGCAGCAGAGGGTAAACGTTGCCGATAATTGGGCTGGTTGTCCTGAAGCATACGGAGCTTTGCACAGATAACAGGCTTCTGAGGCTCCTTGGGGAGAGGATTGGCTCAGTTTGCAGACATTGAGCTAGGACAGCACTAATCCTATTGCCTCCAGGAAATTCCCCCTTTCTTCAGCCCGCGGGGGGACCTGGAGGCTCCGTGTCCGGGCGCCCCGCGGCTCTGGACGTGCTCCCGTGTGCCCTCGGTTATTAAACGAGTCCGTTCCCCGTGCCCCTCTGCCGTGCCCGTGTCACTGCAGGGGTGCTCAGCAGCGTGCTCAGAGCCCATGCCCTCAGGCATTGGGACACTGCCCGGAGTGTGGATGTGTGGGAGCACAAGGTGGCCCCGGGGGTGTCACAGCACCTCCCGTGCCAGCCGCTTCCACAGACACCAGCCCCTTACACGCCTGTTCTGAGCAGTTGGGATCACGAGCACTTCAGGGCTTGCAGGTCACGGACTTATTTTTATAGTGCTGGTTGGCTGGGGCTTCTCATGATCTCCAGGGCAGTGTCTGGGTTTTGGGCTGATCAGTCTCAGCGCTTTCAGCCTGCTCTTCTAGAGCTCTGTGCTAATGACTCCTTTGGAGCTGTGGCTTTGTTTGGCTCCGCAGCCTTTCCCTCCGGCAGGCCAGGAGCAGCCCTGCATCAGGATCTCTCAGCCCGATTGCCGGTCTGCTGAGCAGAGGACTCCAGAGCACACAGGCAAAATAATATTGATCTCTTAAACAGGTTCCCTGGCCACATGCAGTCACAGGAGATGGATGGGAGGTTCGTTGTGCAGGAATAAAACTGCGGGTCTTCGTAGGAATTGCAGTCGGCTCTGCCTGCGAGGAAGGAGCGCGCTGGAATTCCCATGGGACAGGCCTGGCACTGGGGACCTGCGCAGATGCAGGGGAGGAAGGATTTGGCTGGCAGCATCCTCACTCCTGCTGCTGCTGCGTGAGCCAGGCTGGGTTTCCTAATCCAAGGCAGGGCTGGCACTGAGCACAGCCCGTCTTTCCCTTCACCAGCCACAATAAATACGGAGCTCCCTACTGCCAGCTTAGAAAGGAGCAGTTTGCAGTGGATCTGCTGCACCTCCGACTTAGACACCCAGCGTTTTAGACCTAACAAAGTCAGCTCAGTCTCTGGCTCGCATCTGGGTTTCCAGAGCCGTCCCACAGCTCGTTTTCCCTCTGCTTGCTTGGCTTTCCTGGAAGAACCGGCCCTGGGCTGGATTCAGGCTCTTCTTTAAACACAGGTTTTCTGGGAAGAGCTGCTGGGAGATGCGGCCCTGGCCGGGGCTGGTGCTCCAGCTTCTCCCTGGCAGCAGGTCGAGGGAGGGGATCCTTGAGCAGTGTCTAGAAGTACCTCAAGGGAGGCAGTGAGGAGGATGGGGCCGGCCTCTTTTCACTGGTGGCCACTGACAGAACTAGAGGAAACGGCCGGAAACTGAAACACCAAAAGTTCCCCAGGAACTTAAGGAAAAATTTCTTCCCGGTGAGGGTGCCAGAGCCCTGGAACAGGCTGCCCAGAGAGGTTGTGGAGTCTCCTTCTCTGGAGATCTTCAAACCCGCTTGGACGCAGCCCTGTGCCACGTGCTCTAGGTGACCCTGCGTGTGCAGGGGTTGGACTAGATGATCCCTAGAGGTCCCTGCCAACCTTCAGCATTCTGTGATCCTGTGATTCTATGATGTTGGAAGCCAGGGCTCCAGGAGCAAAACCCTGGGATTGGCACCTGGGTCTGTGTGAGCCCAGGCAGGAGGAATCGGCCTTAAAACATCTCCTGGACGTGTCCCCCACCTGGGGACGCAGCAGGTCGGTGCCACCCTGCTCTGGCCAGGCTGGTGCCGGAGAAGCAGAGGGTAACTCGGCCCATGCGCTTGTGCAAACCACCCGTGCCACAAGGTCTGGGCAATCGTAGCTGCATAAAGCAAGTGCTGAACCCCGGGCAGACCGGCCAGGCCAGAGGAGCTCCTTAAAATAGAACGAACGGTGGGAACGGTGACGAGTTCAGCAGATGCCACTGTAATTTCTAGTGCTCGCACAAAAGAATCCAGTCTAATGGCTTTTGCTCACCGAAATGTTCAGGGAGCCGCTGTATGGGAAGACACTTAAAGAGCTTTTTAGCAGCAAAAAGCTGTAATGTCTCTGGGAGCTGCAGAGAATTGAGCGAGAGAAGAAAGTGATTTGATAAAGGGCCGTGGACTAGAGGAACTCTGGGTTTAATAGGTAAAGTCTCCCATCAGTTGAACAGGGGCTTGATTTGGGCTCAGAAGAAGGAAAATTGAAGATCTCTCCCAGAGAGAGGATTATTTGGATCTGCCAGACTTAGAGCACCGAGCCCTGCTCATTCAGGAGGCTGCGTCTGATCCTTGTGGAGACCCGAAGGGGACAGAAAAGCAGTGAAAACGGGTGCAGGTCACAGGCTGCCTCCCACGTGGGCTCCCCCGCAGCCCCTGGCCTCCTGCTTGGGCACAGGGGGATTTTCCCCTCAGCTGCAATGGGAAAAATATTCCCATTGCCCCCCAAATACTCCTCAGCTCTGGCGCTTTAAAGCTGAACAAACTCCCTGACTCCAGGAGCTATCTGTGGGCTTAAAATGCAGCACTTATTTGTTTTGTGTGATCTTGGCCTGGCTGAGAGAATGGAAACTTTTATCAGAGCAGTGTTGCTGGAGAAGGGCAGACAGGGGAAGCTGCTGTGGCCACCTGGATTCCCTGGTTCTGCTGGTTAAATAGCCTAAGGCAGGAGCTGTAGGGCCGTACAGCTCCTGCCTTGGGCTATTTAACCATCAGAAACAGCCTCAGCATCTGGGGTCTTTTTTCCTCTGTCTCCTTATGCAGACATCCGTGTTGGCAGCGGAGCCGGAAAGAAGCCGAGATGTTTATTTGGGCCTGTTTAATTGGGGCCTGCCCTAATTGTTGGCAAGAGGTCCTTAATTGTGTCGTTAAGCTATAAAGATCATCAATATGCTTTGATCTGACAAATAAAGATGCCTTGTGTTCAGGATGAGTCACGATGCTGTGAGTCAGGAGAGACTAATGGACTGCAAGTAAATGGCAATAAATGAATAGATTGAAAAGCAGAGCATTTTTGATGTTACTAATCAAATTGCCTAAAAGGATTGAAGTGCTACAAGGCTTTGACTGGGTAATCCAAGGCAGAGCTTTTTACTAATATTTTGTTTTCTCTCTTTCTGTCCACAGACAACGTTTCCAGTGACTCCATCGCTTGCAACAAGCCCCACGATGGCTTTTAGTCCCTACCTGAGTCATGTTTCCCCTGGGATGGGCTTGGTTCCTGCAGAGCTTTTACCAAATACTCCTGTCCTGGTTTCCGGGAATCCTACTGTTACAGTACCAGGAGGCTCTGCCGGACAGAAACTGATGCGTACGGATAAACTGGAGGTATTTGGCTGTCTGATGCAGTATTGCTGAGGCGAATGCCTGGGGCCTGTTGTGCTCTGCTGGAATAACACCCCCTGATTCAGTAGGCAGCACCAAGATTAACTTGCAGCTTTCCCAACGCAGGGCTGCTGCTCTGTGCACATCCAGGCACTCGCGTGGGGCCTGATCCCACATCCTTTGGAGCCCCTGGAAGTTTGGGAGCATGCAGGCATTAGAGCAGGACCCGGGGGTATTGTTTCCTGTGTATAATCCATTTGCAACGCTTAAAAAATGCCAGTGGCTTGCCTGCCCTTTCCCTGGGCTGAGTGGGAGACATTCTGGGATAAGAACAAGAGGGAGGAAGTAACAAACAGTGCCCTTGTCTCGAGACAGAGAGCTTCAAGCTCTGCATTGTTGGAGGAGCCGGGAGCGGAGCGCCGGGGTCCGGGTCACGCAGGGGACGCCGCGCAGTAACAAACAGGTCCGGGATCAGGAATGTCCTCTGCTCCCCTCCAAAGCCCCTCTAGTCGTTTGCGCTCACTGGGGCTCCGTGTTGAAGGAGCTGTAGATGTTTGGAAACCCTCTGCAGAGGCTCTGCAGGAAGCAAGGGCTGAGGACCCGAATTCAGAGGCTCCTGCAGGTGTAAATTACAACACAGGAAGGCGCCAGGGCCGGGTGTAATTTCCCAGCATATTGTTTAACGTTGCCCACGCTTTAGGTTGCCTCGCTCCCCTTCCACGTGACATCTCACCTCGCCCCACACAAGCAGGCTGCTGCGTATTGGGGTGTGATTTACACCTCCAGCTACTACAACCTCTGCAATCTTTCTGGTTTCCTCAAACGAGGAAACCTTAAGCCCCATTTTGCAAAACTTTGTTCTCTGCTTTTGATGCTCCGCAGTTGCTAACTCCCAAGGAGCTGCGAGGTCTCTGTAAAGCTGGCAGTTTTGGTAGCAGCTGTGAGCACGTTGTTGGCTTTTAGTGTGCTGTGATCAAGCGTGCTGCCAAGTAACCCGGGGTCAGAGTTTTGTTGCAGAGTCCGTCAGGCCGTCTACATGAAAGAGGCTGCTTGTATTTAATAACAGAATACACGTATTAGTTTAGTGCAGCCAGCCGTGCTGATATTCTGTGTTGAAAGTGCTGAAATTTTATGTCTGCTCAACAATGTGACTTTCTTTTAAGGTTTGTCGAGAGTTTCAGCGTGGAAATTGTACACGTGGTGAGAACGATTGCCGCTATGCTCACCCTATAGATATTGCAATGATAGACACCAATGAAAACACTGTTACAGTTTGCATGGATTACATCAAAGGTCGATGCTCTAGGGAGAAATGCAAGTACTTTCATCCCCCTGCACACCTGCAAGCCAAAATCAAGGCAGCTCAACACCAGGTGAACCAGACAGCTGCAGCTGCAATGGTAAGGATGCTCTTCCCAAACTGTATTTCCCGTTGCTGAGGGGTTTGGTTTGTGTCTTCCGCGGTGCGTTTTGTGAGTGGCTGAGTGAGCTGCAGAGCACACGAGCAGTGTGGGTGACATCCTTGCATCCTTTCTGCGTGCTCACCGTGGCGTGAGGCGCTGAGCGATGCAGTAGCCCTCACCAGTTAGGGACACCCTGGCAAATCCTCTGATTTTCTGACAGGAGGTCAGGGGTGGCGTGTTCAGCAGCACCTAAAACAAGTGCCATCCCTGGCTAAGCCCTCGGGGTCAGTTCAGCTTCCTCGGTACCCCAGGAAAGCAAATAACAGCCACCTCGTAACACGCTGTTGTGGGGACATCCCGGCCTGTCGAAGTCAGCAGCAGCATTTCTGCTGACACCAAAGCAGAAAAGATACCGACGTTCCAGCCGAGCAAGCTGAGAATCCCTGTGCCCAATCCCTTCGCTTAGTGAAATGCCCTAAGTCTCCATCCAAGGATGAGTAACTACATCTATGTGATGCCTAGGAACTGTCAGACAACGTTCCAGCTGCATTTTAATTTGAACTGTGACTTCTTACACTCCTGTAGCCACGGCAGGAATTCTAAAAACAAGTCAAAGAGGACTTAAAAGTACAGATCAGGTTTCCAGCTGCAGCAAATGGTTGCCGTTCTGTTGACTGCAGTTTAATGGCTCCTATTTAGTCCAGCTGGGAATATGCTTCCCACAGTGCATTAGAGAAACCTAATTGCAGAGCTCGAATTGTCCAGAGTGGGCAGGATGTTGCCATTAGGAGCAAATTCTTCGCTGCAAAGGAGGCCGACAGCATCGGGCGCGTTGGCAGAGCAGGTCGAGGGAGGTGAGTGTGCCCCTCTCGGCTGCATCCAGGACCGGGCTTCCCGCTGCGGGAGATGCGGATGTCCTGGAGACACGGGAGGGTGCAGGATCCCGTGTCCAGAGCTGGCACTGTTCAGCCTGGAGGAGGCTCAGGGACACGTGGCAGTACCTGATGGGACCGTATGGAGGAGATGGAGCCAGGCCCTGATCTCTTACCCAGTGAAAGAATGAGAGGCGATGGAGATACGTTGAAATAGAGTAGGTTCCACTTAAATATAACAACAAGAAAAACCCCCTTTCACAGCGGAGGTGTTTGAGCACCGGAGCAGGTTGTCCAGAGGCTGTGGGGATTCGCTCCCCTCAAAACCTGGCTGGACACAGCCCTGTGCGCCCTGTCCGCAGTGGGAAGTTGGGCTGGACAACGTCCAGGGGCCTCTCCAGCCTCGTCCCTTCTGTCACGCTTGGAATAGCTGATATTGAAATGATTCTTGCCTCCTTTTCGATCTAGAAATAAAGCCAGCAAAGCTTCCCTGAAGGGCTTTTTTAACAGGCAAGGGTTGCTTTTTATTGTGGCAAAGTATAATGCAAAAATTAAACAACTGCTGGCCTGGTAACATCAATATTACCTGGGAGGTAGCTTGAAGAACCAAATATATTGCAGTGTTCATTTGTCCTGGATCATTTATTTGTTAAATTCTTAACTATTTTCCTTATTGTTGAAATGACAACTAAAGTCTATTGAAAAAGATTCATCTGAAATGAAATTCTCATGTTCTTTCTTTACAATTGAAGTTTTACTTTTTCACTAATTATTTAGGACACTGTCACTTAACCAAAGCCAGTCCATGTTTTATTCATGCTGCTGGCTTCTCTTAAAAACGTAATTAACCTTATTTGTATGCTGTTAACTAGAACCTTTAAATATTTATTGGTGATTTGTTGCATCACCCTGCTTCCAAAACAGCTTGCATTATTCATTGCCTTTTCAAGGCTTGATGCATTTACTGTACCTGTTGAGGGATAAGGCTTGAGTAAAGGGAAGGGTGCTGCGCAGTCACCTCGCACCCAGAAACAGGTGCCTTGCAAATTGATAAGCCCTTCTGAAATAGAATTGGAGTGACTTCGGATCTAATAGTGGAGGATACCTCTGGGCGACCCAATCCTGGAGTGACTCGCACCTTGTAGCAGCTCTGCTGGCTCCTGCCTGGCTCGGCCTGTGCAGCAGATGAGCCGGGTGGGCTCAGTCCCCGGTTCGGGCACACACGGTGTCCTCCAACCTCCCGTCTTTGCCCGAGGTCCCTTCCTTGCCCTGAGCTCCCCGCGGCCGCTGCAGCGTCAGGGCCGAAGCCTCACGCAGGTTCCCAGGCACAGGGGCTGATCCCGAGCACATACCCGTGCCGATACCTGAAAACAACCCAGCAGCGTTGGGCAGCCACGCAGACACCCCGTGCTGTGCATGCCTCGTCTTCCTGATATATCGTGTAATGCATTCATTTTTTTTTATTTTTTTCTCTTCACCTCCCCACGTTGTCGCTCTCTCTGGCACCTCTGCTTGCTGTTTCCGTTTCTGTGCTTGGCTCCCCTCCCCGGCCCATTGCCACCCTGTGCTCGCTGCCTGCTCATTAAGACTCAGCCAGCTGTCACATCACTGAAGCGACCGCTCGAGGCCTCCTTTGACCTGGTACTTGGACCTTTCGCCTTCTCGCTTTGCACGTAGCCATCGTAGCTGCATGAGCCTGGTCTGTCGCGCTCGCGCCTGCGGAGACTGCCCATCCCATGAGGAATGCTGTGGCCGTCCGGCCGTGCCGGGCTGTGACCCCGGAACCGTCCCATGAGCTGTGGAGGACGCCGTGATCTTGGGGGTCTTGGGCAGCTCTGTGTTTTGGGGGATTTTTCCAGGCGGCAGGAGCTGGAGTTGGCGCAGGGTGGTGCTTTGGTGAGGGTTTGGCTGGATCCTTCTGCAACGTGCCGCGTGTCCCCGAGGAAACGGGAGGCATGGACAGACCCTGCTCCTGCTGCTGAGCCTGGGCGGGTTGTCGTGACCTGCCTGGCCGCGCTGTGCCCGTTCTGCCCTGCCGAAAGGTGCTCGGTGCTGAGGCCCGGCCCGAACGCAGGGCCTGTCCCTGCTGTTGGTGACAAGGGCTGGCAGCTGCGGGGCAGCGCTGGCATCCCAAGGGCTGCAAGGTGGGGACCCTGCGGTCCCATCCGGCCGGGGTTTCTCCCGCAGGGCCCCGGTGGGAAAGGGAGCAGCAGGGACCTCCCTGTGAGCTGCCTTGGCTCGTGTCCCGCGTCCCGCTGACCTCTACCTGCCTTCTCGATGCTCTTAGTGATGCAGAAACCCCCCTCCCAGCCCGCGTCCTTCCAGCTCCCGGCTGCTGGGGTCAGCGCAGTGAACATTCCCTGCGGACACCGCGGCTCAGGCCAGGGGAGCTTCTGTTTATTTTATTTTGCATTACTTTGTTTTATTTTCCACAATAGAGGTGTTAAAATGTCTATTTCAACCACTCTTCGGGGCAAATTTACAAGAAAGTTTGGCCAGAGGCGAAGCCCCACCAGCAGCTCCGCAGGGCGGCTCTTTGCCAGGCAGGGCTCCGCACGGAGCTTCGGCGTTAGGAAATCCTCCGGAGCGGGAAATCCGCAGTGCAGCGCAGGGCCTGGGCGCCCTGTCCAAGAGCTGCTGCTGTGGAGGCGGTTGGGAAGGGGAGAACCCTTTGGCTCCCGTTCGCTCCGAGCTCCGCGCAGAGCCCAGCCTGCTCAGACCCAGGCCTGGCCTGGAAGGGTGACATTATTTCTAACCATCTTCCTGCTGGACTGAGTATTCCCAGCCACGTTCTGGGGCTGCATCGCGTCCTCCAGGTGCTACCAGGGGTTCTCCAGCCCTCGGTGACGTGGCTCTGTGTTTGGACGGCGCAGCGAGGCCCGTGCCCCTCGCATGGTGCTGTGTGAGCACGAGGGAAGTGTGGGCTGCTCCCAGGAGATAGGGATCTAAATGGAATTTCGAGGAGCAATTAAACTGTTTGCTGCAAGATTTAATCCAGTTCCTGTCTTGCAAAAAATAACAAGAGGGGGTTAACCAGCACATGGGAAATTTTGACTTAGGCATGCGTTGCATTTTTATCTGTCATTTATGCTGAAAGATTTCCTTCCATGCCAGGCAGAGAAATGACACAAATACCTTGTTCAAATGCTCGTATTCCAGCA